CGTACAATGAAGACTGTCGACAAAGCCAAGGGTTAGTTCTTTGTTATTCAGAGATCTCAGACATTATAAGTTCCTTCAGGGATGGAGTGGGAAATAGTTCTCTGTCTCTGAAACTCACACTGAATCTTGGATATAAATAATTCAATTAATATTATTTAAATGGGTGACTTTAGTCTATGAACCAAAGAATAAACTATTAAGCAAAGAGATAAACTTCAAAGGGTGTGTGTAAGTGTATCTAAGCAATTGCAACAGGATATTAAATAGGATCTAGCCTCTTGTCCTGAAATTAGTGACAAGAGCCAGTACAGAAGTGAAAAGGTGTTAAGTTCCACAGGACAAGGGTCATAGATCTCCACCAGGAATTCTTGAGATGGCAAAACCAGTCTTATTACAATCAACTATGATTCTCTAACCCAGGTGTCAGCAATCTTTTTCTGGGAAGGGCCAGATGAATAGTAAATACTTTCCGCTTTGTGGGTACAGTTTCTGTTGCAACTACTCAACTCTGGCACTGTAGTTCAAAGCAACCATAGACAATATGTGAAAATATGGTTCACAATATGTGAACATATGTGTTTCAATAAAACTTTATTTCAAAACAGGCAATGGCCTGATTTGTCTCTTGGGCTGTAGTTTTTTGACCCTTGCTCTAAACATTCCCCCCTCCCTAATGTCTAAAATTAATGAGGGAGAAAGAGCATCATCATAAATGCGAATCAGCCCAATGGGAATGCTGTGGTTGCCCCCACTCTCTACCCCAGCCAAGTGAGGGGGACCAGAGAATCACTTGACAATGCAGAAGGTGTGCACAAAGGGAAGACTTCCATCTCTTTACCTGGTTAGAACTTTGCCTAAGGAGGGAACTTAATGGCTCTGCCCTTCATCTAGGCAAACAGGAAAAGAACAGGAAAGAGGAGGCAGGGCTGAGAGAGGCACTGAAGCAGAGAGAGGAGCAAGTGTTTGGTATAACAATGATGCATAAGATTCCCTTAGCTCCAGGGGTCACAAAGGAAGGAAATTGGACTTGCTTAGTTTTGCTCTAATTTTATGTACAAGGACTTGCCTCCTGGCCCAAAGAGTACCCAATCAGTTATGGAAGAGTTTGAGTGGGGTCAGACCTCTCAGCTCAGAGAACCTAGGTGATAGGGAGGCTGCCAGGCTCTCCCAAGAATACACACGACACCTCAAAGAGAGAGGGGCTGGTGACCTGCCATGCAGTAGGTAATGTACAGCCAGTTGGAGGTGGAAAGAGAAGCAGCCACAGCCAGCAAAGGGCCACAGCAACAGCCAGATTAGTAAGAGACACTCATCTGTTCTCGAGGAGAGAGAGGGCAGGAACGTCCCAGAGTCAGACGACGTGTCCTCTCCTTCTCCTAAACCACACACTCAGAGTGAGGAAAGCTGAGGGGGAATCAAAGAACAGACCCCACCTCCCACCACACTCAGCTTCTCTCGACCCAGGAACCTGGTCAGGCAGAGGAAAGGAAGCTGTAAACTGGAATGAGATGGGAGCTTTTAAGCAGATGGAATTTTGGTTTTGTTTTTGGTTTTTTGATTTTTGATTGGGGGGGTTGAGAAATAATTTAAATGAAATAACTATGTGTAAGTTTGTGTACAATGTAAGGCCATGCTTTCTGAATAACTTCCCATAGCTCCTGGCAGAGAGTTACCTACCATGACGTCTAAACAGTCTGGGTCAAGTGTCGCAATCAATGGCAGCCTTTTGATGTTAAGGCCCAAAGTCACTGAAGTAAATAATAAACATACTAAAAGCCCTACAACATGATAAGGAGAATTTAGAAATCTGAGTGGGAAGGAGTAATGAAGCCAAGATCAAATGCTGGCTCCCTTCCAAAATCACTAACACAACCTGCTATTAAGCCAAAGCAGATCTGTTGCTTCCTGTGTAGTAAGGAGAGGACCATCTCCACACAGGCTTCATAGTGCCCCCAGGAGACAAGGACTGATTCGGGCTACTTACTGAGATCTGAAGGGATGGATAACTGAAGTTGACCTGAAAATTATGGAATCTGACATGGAGAAGGAAAGGAAGACCTAAAACAACGCATCTGGGGGCCATGACTGCTGTGGGGAAAAGGGTTAGCATTTATATACCCTGGGTTGAGACTGTTTGAAAACCAAATACCAATTTATAGAAACTTCTCACCAATCTAGAGTCTACTTATTTAGCATTTTTGGCTACACATGCCAGAGTCAAGAAATCAGACAGACAGACACACACACAAACACACACACACACACACACACCACACACACCCCTCTGTGGAGAAAAACATCCCCTCCCTTTATATTCTTCTGTAAACTACTGAAGTCTTCACTCAAAGCTGAATGAGCTAAATGCTAAAGGTGATTGGACTGTTTTTTAAAAAAATCTCGAATAGTTAATGTTCTACCATGCTGAGTTGCAAGGGTTCTCATCCTACAGTAGGTAATATTAAAGCATTGCCTGTGGGATCAGAAAGACTCTCATTTGATTTCTGCTTCCGCCGTTTAGTAGCTGTGTGACCTGGATGTGGAACTTCTCTCACAGCTTTGTCCCCTCACTGTAAAGGAAGGATAATGATACCTCACAGAGAGGTTGTGAGGATTAAACTTTGTAATAAATGTAAAGCCCTTGGTACTGTGACTGGCTCCTAAAAACAACTCAGTGAGTTTGTTTTTGTTACTGACACTGCCATCAATATCATAGAAAGATCAGGAGGCAGAAAAAGGAGATAAAAATGGCTCAAGTGAAAAGGATAGGTAGAGATAAGGACTTCTAATAGTATGATAATATAATATTCCTTATGTGATTCTGGGGGCTCATCAAGAAACACTTGTTTTTAATATAGCTTATTAAAGGCAGATAGAACATACTACTTTGTAGAAAAACTATTAACAACTAAAAGAGAGAGTTGGTCTATAAAGAAATGTGCTTTAATTATCTAGAAAATTCACTAGTGAGTGATATAGGAAGATATGTGAATCTACCTGTGAATGCAATCATTTGAAAATGTATGAATATTCAAAATTACTGCTATAGACAAGTAATGTATCATAATGTTAAAACTTAGTCCTTAATCATCCATAACCCACAGTTTACATGAGATTCTGTCTCCTCCAAAATCCACAGCAGATTATGAGGACACTCAAAATCTAAAGCTGAATGAATGAGGAAAGTGAGTCACCCCATTCAGTGTTTCATTAGAAGAATCTGCTGAGGGCCTAAATGTGCCAGGTATTATGCTGAGCACTTTAGATAAAAACCGTTAAGACCTGGTCCTGCCTAATGGTGCTGTACTCTAACTGGAAAGGACAGAAACCTGGAAGGATCTTCCCACTTAAAGGGCCAGGAGTGATAAACTAGATGGGAAATTGCTAGAATATACCTAGATGGGCATACTGAGGAAGAAGTTAGCCAAAAAGGTGGGGACGACACAGAGAGGTATGTACCTGGACACAATTATGACAAATCAGCTGATTCAACAATAGAAACAGGAAAGGAGACACTGTGTGGCCTTGGTAACTCAGCCTGTATGAGGCTGCATTAACCAAAAGAAACCAGAATAAACACAGAGCAGGAAGTTAGAAGCATCACAAAATAATGCTTTACCACGGAATGGCCTGGAATCAAAATACAGGAGAGCAATAGGCAAACTGGATCTAGAAAAGTGAGTACAACTGATAGAGTGGCCAAATCTAGAGACTTCTCGAGAAGCGAAATGTTTTTGAAGTTGATTTTTTGTTTTTTAACCCTCAAAGAAAGATTTCGTCCCTCCACCCCCATCCCAAGCTGTCAAAAACAAAAATGAAATTTTGCAGATGTTATCTTTGTGTCATTACTGCTCAAATTATAATCATGGTCACAGTATACTGTACAACATGCAAGCTTAGCAACCAGTGGTCAGAGGGAGGATATCGACGGTGAAGATCAATCCTTTCCCTACCACAAGCCTGTAATGCAGCCCTAAATGGGAAGATGGTGCATATGTTGCTGAGCACATTATCCACAAAGTTTAGAACGGATCCTTGCCCTTACTGTGTGACGGAGAGCAACTATATGGCAATTCTTTCACCTATAGAAGAAGCTGCATTCCCTTTGGCATACGTAACAACCATCAATCAAGATTTTGATATGTCTGAATGGCTCCCTCCAACCTATTTACGTGCCTCAAAACGTCTACTGCATTCACATAGATAAGAAGGCCACAAATGAGTTTGAAATTGCTGTGGGGCAATTATTGAACTGCTTCCCAAATACTTTGATATCATCAAAGTCTGAGTATATTACTCACAGGGGAATATCCAGACTCCAGACTGTCCCCGCCTGCATGGGAGATCTTCTAGCTTCAGACGTTCAGTGGAGACACTTCATTAAAATCTGTGGTCACAATTTCCCCCTAAAAACAAATAAGCAGATAGTGCAGTATTTGAAAACATTGAATGGGAAAAACATTACTCCTCACTTAGTGTCCACTTTGAAATCTGCCGAAAGGATCAAATATGCTCGTAGACTGTCTTTTGTCCTAAAAACACGTAGAAAGAAGGGTCCCTTGCCAAATCAACTCAAAATCCACTTTGCTTCAGCTTACACTGTCCTTACAAGGGAATTTGTCCATTTTGCTCTTTTTAATAAAATAGCCATTCAGTTACTTCAGTGGTCCCAAGATACCTATGAAATATACCTACAGTCCCGATGAACTATTCTGGATTTCACTTAAGATTCCGTGTGAGTGTGTTTCCCTCCTCATTTCTTATTAATTTTTACTTCTTAACCAAGGTAATATATCATTGTGGTTTTAAAATCAAACATCATTAAAAGGCTTAGTGTAATGAAGAATTGAGGGCCATGCCTCTCCTCACATGCAGTCCCAATTACCAAAGGCAACTATTATCATATTTTCAGCTGTTTCTCCTGTTGTTACCTCTATATAAATAATATGTCTATACTATCATTTCTTAACATATCAGATTTTAACATTAATTAACAATATCCTGTGCTCGCTTCAGCAGCACGTATACCAAAATTGGAACGATACAGAGAAGATTAGCATGGCCCCTGCACAAGGATAACGTGCAAATTCGTGAAGCATTCCATTTTTTTTTTTTTAAAAAAATCAATATCCTGTTATAATTGTTGAGAACTACGTTTTCATCCTTTACCCACAAATTTTCCTTCACTCATCTTTTTAAAACCATGATTTTAAATCAATTGTCAATGTTTATATTATTATAACTATGAAGCTATAATTTATAACTGACAAGAACTCTACTATAATTACATTTACTTTCTCCTAAATATTTTGTTTTTCCTGAGGTTAATGATTGCTGCAGGTCTTTCATCCCTTACTTACTTATTTTTATATATATTTATCACTAATATTTCCAGAATGCTTAAACTAATCTGTCAAATAAATATCATTATTTTTCAAGCGTTCAACTCTTTACCAGCTCCTTTTTCCTTCCGAGTCTAGACATTTCTCCCCTTGGGCCTATCATCAAGCTCTGATCCTAGGAATTCTCTTCCCCACACCTATGTTAGATCCCATATTCCAGAGAATCTGTCTTTGTCTTTTAAAGATACATCCTGAATATTTAAGAATTAAATAACACAACATCACACATTCGCTTCAAAATAATCTGAGGGTAAGTGAGGAAGGAAATCATGATTGGCTCTCTTTTGATAATTATTGACCCTGGCTGATGGGTATACAAGTATTAATTATTTTATGTGTTTAAAGTTTTCTAAAGTAAAAAGATTTTTAAACTTTAATCCCAGATATTTCTCTTTTTTGGCAGTTATGCTAAATGGGATCATATTTTTAGTTATGTTGTTTATTTTACTTATGAAGTCTGTTAATTTTTGAATATTATTTTTTGAACCCAGCCATATAACTAAATTTTCACATTCATTTTAACAGTTTTTCAGTTGATTATCTTAGATTTTTCCATTTATTCAATCATAATCTGCAAGCAAATGATAAACTTCCCAAATTTCCAATTATGTTAATTTCTTTATCTTATCTAAATTAACAATTATCTCCAGGATAATATAAAATAATAGTATTGATAATAGGAATTTTTATCTTGTTCCTAACTTTAATAAGAAATGTTTTAGGTGTGTGTTTGGTGATTTCTACTTGTTTGTTAGTAAGGGGGTAGCTTTCTCTCTCTACTTTTTCCATACTAATGTCTACTTAGATTTTTCACCCCTTCTGCAGTCAGTTTTGATAAATTATATTTTCCTGGAAAATCATCAGTTCCATCCAAATTTTCAAATTCATTTGCTGACAGTTGAACAAAGGCATTTCTTAAAAGACTTTGAAGTTCCCTATGTATCCATGGCTCTTCCTACTTATCAATTCGTGTTTTGTGTATTTATGCCTTTCCTCTTTTTTTTTCCCCTTGGATTTACTTATTAGTTCTGCCATTTTTCTCTTTTCCAATTCATTAATTTCAAGTTGTCATTATTAATTCTTGCATTTTGCTTTTATGAAATTTGTTTTGGTGCTCTTTTTCTAACTTTTTTAAATTGGTTGCCTTTTTTCATTTACTTTTTAAAACTATAATTTCTTCTGGTTACTACTTTGGGTATATTCCATAGTTTCTGATAAGTTGGACTTTCATCATGATTACTTTCTGGATATTACGCAATTGTAATTTTGCTTTCCTCTTTGAAGAGCTGTATAAGAAAAAGTGTTTTTAGAGTTTTAGGTGCATTTTTAAATTTCCATTGTGCATACGTTTTTAAGATTAATATTTAATTTTACTATTTACTCCATTTGCTCACAGACTGTTACCTGCATTATCTCTACTTGGGAAGGTGAGATTTTCTTTGTGGCCTCATATATAATAAGTTTTGGCAATTGTTCTATGGACACTTAAAAAAATGTGTATTATTGGTTTTCAAGGTATCGCTTTCTATATATACTTGTAGAAATTAAATATATCTTATTTAGTATATTACTTAGGTATTACACATTCTTTTGAGATCTACCTACTGAATCTATCAATTCTTAATAACGGTGAATTAAAACTTCCTACAATTTTATTTCTCCTTTTAAGTTTTAGCATCATGAATGTTGACGCTGCTATTGGGGCAGAGATGTTAAGTTTTCTATCTTCATTAAATTGCATCTCATATCATTTGAGGCTTTTTGTCCTGAATTCAACTTTATTTGATATTAAGATCATGAGCTATCTTGATTTTAGTTTGCCTTTCTTTGATATATTTTTTCTCACACTTTAATTTGTGTATGAGTCAGGGTTCAGTTAGGAGACAGAAATCACATTTGTAATGTGAATAGAAAAATTTAATATAAAGAAGTATTACCTAGTAACAAGGGATTAACTACTAAGAGGTAACGAACTCTAAAGAATAAAGAAATAGCAGAAGTAGAAAACAGCCATGACCCCTAAGCCTTAGGCAGAGTTGCCAAGGAGTTTACTTGGAAACTTGGAAAAAGTCTTTCCCCAAACTTGGAAAAAGGAGATTCAGAACTTCTTGAAGATGATGTGGCTGAGGCCCACTGAATGGCCAAGAAGTTTGCTACAGAGCCACAGACTGGGCTGGCAAGCAAGAAAACATCAACTGGGGTGCTAGCAAGACTCACTGGGAAGTCACTTGCTAGGATACCAGCGAAATTTACTGGGAGGCCATATGCTAGGCTCCCACTGTAAATTGATGGGAAGTCCCATGGTGCCACTGACACTTGCTGTGAAGCCATCCACTAGGATGCTGGCAAAATTCTCTAGGAAGCCGCTTGTTGGGATGCCCCTGATATTCACTAAAATGTAAGCACTGTTGGTGTCCTTCAGTCTCCCTGAGGTGCTGCTGAAACTCACTGGGATATTACCCACTGGGGTGCCACTGAAATGCACTAGGAACCTACCTCTGGGGTACTATCAGAATTGTCTGGGAAGCCTAGCATTGGGTTGCCTATGAAATTTGCTGGACAGTGAGCACTACTGGGTGTCCTACATACCACAAAATCAGGGAAAAAGGCCATCAGAGCAAGAAAGAGAAAGCCTTTCCTCTTGCACGGCCCTTCTAGTGCCCTTTACTGACAAAACTTGGTGTTGTATGAGCTGACAAAGGAGAAATGTTTACAGGGTCCAGTTCTAGTATCATAAAGGATGCCTTTGAAGCTGAGAGCCAGGATATTGATATCTGGCACAGTCCACCCCTTTGGCTATTCAGTTTCCACGTGCACTCTCTGCACACACTCCCATATAACAATGAAACAACTCTATGTTTCCATCCAACAAGATATAGCTACACTTTGTGAAGTAAGAAGACCTCATGCTTCCTCCAAATGAGGAGACAGAGAGTATAAACATTATTGCATCTATCACTGGCTATATCAGTTATTTCTCAAATTCATTCACAGTTCCACGACCCATTCCATATTTCCCTTGCTCTCAGCCAGAACTTCAGCTGGTCAGGGTTCTTTACCTGGTGGGGTGATCCAAATCTTCATTCGTGAATGATATAAATCCTTAAATGTCTTGCCTCTTTTCGGTTGCTATAGTTTTCCATTAACCTTTACTATCGAGCATGGAGATACTAAATGATGCCCCCAAAGAATTCTCTGGGTTCCAGATAGAGTTCACTGGGTAGAGCAATGCAATTTTCTGGAGAAATGCAATCACTCCAGCCAATAAAATGACACTTTTTTTAGAGTGAAATTTTTTCTCTCTGTTGGTTCTGTGGCATAAGGAGACCATAACGGCCAAGTGGAAATCTCATCTTTGAATTCAGTGGCACCATTGTCCATTGAGAGAGCATTCCCCCTTGGAAACAAAGACCTCCAAACCCGCAGAATTCAAAGTTGTCAGGATGGAAAGTAACAATTCTGTGGGAATCAATCCTTGATTCCCAGACCCATGTATTCTGGCTATGGAGAAGACAGCATCATATATTGATCTCTGATTCAAAGTATATACAGGAGTTTCCTATACAAGAAAACTCCATTCTTTTGGGGTGTTGTCTCTCAACTGCAGCTGGAGCTGAGCCTTCAGGAAGCCATTACAAATTTCAGCCAGGTCAGCCCCTTCTGCTTGATGATATATGCGGCAAGACCAGTTAATTCTATGGACATGAGCTAGCTGTTAAACTTCCTTTGTTGTGAAATGAGTTCCTTGATCAGAAAGATAAGAATGAGTTCCTCAATCTTTGTAAAAAGTGGGGTGATGATGAATAAGTCATCTGGTGAGTCCATGGATTGTGGTTCTAGCAGAAGCCTAACGGGCAGGGAAGGCAAATCCATATTCCATATTCAGAATGTGTATTTATTCCAGTGAGGGCAAATCTCAGTGATGAAAGGGGTCCAGGGTACTCAGTCTGACACCAGGTGGCTGGCTGGTTCCGTCAGAGAATAGCACCATTGCAAGGCTCAGCATTGTTCTCAGCTGTTAGCAGATTAGGCATTCGGCAGTAGCATTGGCCAGGTCAGCCTTGGCAATGGAAAGTTCATATTGTTGAGGCCATGCATAGCTTCCATTCTTTTCACCATAGTTTGTTCATTGGCTCATTGAGGAAACGATGGGGTGACTGGGGAGAGTGACAGGCTGATATATACAGAATGTGTCATTTGCTTCACCTGATAATTAAAAGCCTTCTCTGCAGTGTATGCCATTTGATGAGCATTCACAAGGGACCCAAATATCATAGTCTATGCCCATTCTGAAAGATCTATCTATATACCTCTCCCCCAAACTTCCTTGTCACCAATCTCCCAATCCTATCTTTCAAGTCCCTAACACCCAGCCCAACTATACAACTGCCTGTGTACTGAGTGTAGATCCACACTTTGGCCATCTCTCCCTGCAGAAAGAGTGGACTACCAAATGTACTCAAAGTTCTGCCTATTGGAGGATTTTCTTTCACCACAGTCCTTCAGGGTCACCCTTGATTCATGCTATAAATCTGCAGCTGTTCACTTTAAATGGTGCAAACATACCATGTACACCAAGAACCCTGCCCCAAGACAGCTTTCAAATCTGTATTTCTATCATTAGTCCCACCTCTCTCCTCAGCTCCATGGCCAGGTTTTTTCCTGGTGCAATTTATTTTTAATGTTTTAATGTAAAAACTTTTGAATG